AGGCAAAAAAAAAAAAGATGCTCGCAGTGATACAGAATTCTGATTGTTTGAACATATTTGTGAAGGGCCTTATGCAAAATCTCCAATGTTCAACACACATGTGATACCAATAAGCCGGTCTAGTGTATACTTGTGCTAAGTAAAACTGGATGTCATAAGAGGTTAAACAGTTCCATCCAGTGTGACTAGTAAAGATTTTTTGTATTTCAATTCTTCATTCCTACATGTTTCGGTCTTTACAGACCATCCTCAGAGGGACATCAATACAATCGGAAGTCACTATTACAATATGTTTTTGAATGCTAGACTATATACTCGTACATACGAGGGTTGGAACTTTAATAGTGGCAACTATTTATTTACAACTGACACAAAACAGATGCATGTTTTGAAGTTTTACTGTCCTTCAATGTAGTCACCAGCATTGTGTACAACCCATTGCAAGTGATGTGGAAGTCGTAGGATACCTTTAGCAGCACCTGTTGTGTTGATAGTTCAAATGGAGCAGTCTACTGCCTGAAGAATCTCTGGAACAGTTCTGAAGCGAATGCCATGAAGTGGTTCCTTTATCTTATGAATCAAGTCGAAGTCACAAGGGCTTAAGTCAGGATAGTATGGTGGATGGTACAGCATTTCCCAGACCCATCAATCGAACAAATCAGCCACAGCTTGTGCCTCATGCGGCCGAGAACTGTCCTGCAAAATGATGGGTGGGTTCTGCAGAAAGTGTTGCCGCTTCTTTCTCAAAGCTGGTCACTGGTTGTGTTCCAAAAATGAACAGTAATACTGCACACTGATGGTCTGCTGTCAGGGAATGGTATGCAATAGGATAACACCATCAGTCATACATGAGAGTCACCATAACTTTCAAATTGCAGAGGTTCTGACAAACTTTTGATTTTCGTGGTGACCAGTATTGACACCATTCGTTTGATTGGCATTTCGTTTATGGCTCGTACGAGTACAATTTGGCCCATGTCTCATCCAGTGTAATGATACGGCATAAGAAAGCCTCTCCTTCATGCTCATAGCGCTCCAAGTGGTTACGAGCAGCGTTGTGTCGTAGCCATTTCTGCATTTCCATCAAATCATGCGGAACCCAAATGATACAATTTTCTCATGCCCAGGCATTCCTTCAGAATGTGAAGCACATTCGCATGTGCTAATCCTGTCTCTTGGGCAGGATCACGACTCGTATGGCGTCGATCACTCTCCAGTAACGTAGAAAGAGCATACGTTTCTTCTTCACTGACACTAGGATGACCTGGCCGACGCATGTCTACCACATTTTGGCATCCCTCATTGAAGGCTTTTACCCCCTTGCCACTGTTCTGTAAGGCAATGCAGATTCCCCGCAAGCCTCTTGAAGACCTTGATGACACTGTCGTGCTGTATGGCCTCTGCCACATTCAATCTTTATCCAACTCTGTTGTTCCTGTTTCGAAAACATCATGATAACACTACACTATACTGCCAGCTAATATGAGTCTCTGTTCTTCTCGTCACTGCGCATGCGCATGATGTGGGAAGGGAGTGTCCATTTGCTCTGAGGTAAGGTAGGTATTATCTAACATGTGGTATAAGCAACATTATTTGGTTCCGTTGCATGGCATCTCCACAGCAGTGTTGCCACTATTAAAGTTCCAACCCTCATATAAAGTTGATAAAATATAATAGATATAAAATCTAATGTTTTAACAACTACAGCGGCTGTCTTAATATGTTAAAATATATAGAATTAGTTTGTTAAGATTTTTGTTGGAAATTGTAAACCAATTTGTTTCGTGTCTTTTTTATTATTTCTTCACTTGAAGGGGGCCAAATGTGTACCACCATGTAGTTCTTGAGAAGGGGATTCTTTAATGTCATCCTGTAGGTGTCCGTGGCGCACTGTATTTTAACATATTAAGACAGCCATTGTAGTTGCTAAAACATTAGATTTTATATCCATTGTATTTTATCAACTTTATATGTATACCGTATGTCCAAAAAGTATCCGACTTAATTTTTTTCCGCTGTAAGTAATGGCCAAAGGGGTGGGGAAACTGAGCATAGTGGTAGAAGGAACTTTCATGCGCATGTGTGATTTTTTGCTGACTCGCAACACTGCCGGATGCATCTGTGGCTGCCAGATAGCGAAGTGATGTAACATGTGTTCGTCGCGTTCTCGTTTCGCTCAAGATGACAGAACGCTTGGAGCAGCGATACTGCATTAAGTTTTGTCAGAAACTTGGGGATACCCAAGAAGAAACAATTGCCAAAAATTCAGCAGGCTTTCGGTGATGATGCAATGGGGGTCACTCAAATTAAAGAGTGGTTTGATCACTTTAAACATGGCCGTAGGTCGGTGGACAGGGAGCAGCGTTCTGGGAGACTGTCAACGAGCCAAAATGGTGATGTCATCAAAAAAGTGCGGACACTGATCATGGAGGACCGTCGTTTGGCCATCCGTGAAGTTGCTGATGAGGCTGGAATCAGCAGAGGTTCCACAAACACAATTTTAACTGAGGATTTGCCCAAGCTGCTTCCACTGGAGCACCAACTACGCCTTGAAGTCATGCAGGACATGCTGGAGTGCACCAACAGGGATCCTGAGTTCCTGAAGACTGTGATCACTGGTGACAAGTCGTAGGTGTATGGATATGACCCAGAAACCAAGGTCCAGGCGTCACAATGGAAGCATCCAACATCCCCTAGGCCCAAAAGAGCACGACAGGTTCGGAGCAATGTGAAGATGATACTGACTGTTTCTTTTCGATTACCGGGGTGTTGTGCATCATGAGTACGCACCACTAGGCCAGACTGTCAATAAGGAGTACTACCAAGAAGTCCTCCGCCATCTCCGTGATGCAGTTCAGCGTAAGAGATCGGAGCTGTGGGACGCACGCAACTGGCAGCTGCATCATGACAACGCCCCAGCTCATTCATCACACATGATCCAGGGTTTCCTGGCCAAGCACGGCATTCCGCAGGTTCGCCAGGCTCCCTACTCTCCTGACATGGCTCCTTGTGAATTCTGGCTGTTCCCGAGATTGAAGAGTCCACTAAAAGGGTGCCGTTTTGACAGCCACGAGGACATCATACAGAACGCGACGGCACAGCTGCACGCCATTCCGAAAGAAGCCTTCCAGAATTGCTTCCAGCGATGGAAGGACCGCTGGGCTAAGTGTGTGGAGTCACAAGGGGCCTACTTTGAAGGCGATTAGGTATTGTAACCACCCAGATACAGAACTTTTTTTCCCAGCCCAAGGTCGGATACTTTTTGGACAGAGTAGTATATTCTTACTTGCTTACTAATGGAGCTGAGCCCTTCTTCAGGAGAAGCCAAATCTGCAGCTACTCAAGAATTTCCCAGCATTTTATGGAACTCGAAGGTTCATTACCGTGTTCACAAGAGCCTTCCACTGGTCCCTATCCTGAGCCAGATCAATCCAATCCATACCAACCCGCTGGTATCACGTCTTACATTGTTCAAATTATCCCTATTTATGTCGCTTGGATCCTGTAACCATTGCAATTTGGCTTGTTTTCTTTGGTCTAGTAATTTTGAGTATCCTTCATCGAACCATGGCTTATGCTTCTTCAGTTCATAATAACCTGGACTCTTCTTGGAAGAAATTTTGATATTCTCTCTAATAGTTTCCCAAACTTTATTAACATCCACCTCATTGTCTAAGTTTTCCAAGGCCGCGAACCTATCTGAGAGTTCAACACGATACTGCTCTTTACCCTCTACCTCATTTAATTTCTTGAGATTGAACCTCTCCATATGAACTCTGTGCGCTGTTTGTTGGCTCACTGCCAGTCTTTCCCTATCCTTTGCCATCACCAGGAAGTGGTCAGTATCATAATCTGCTGCTCTCAATGATAGGACATTAAGGATACTTGAATGCTGTCTCCTATCAAAATATGGTCGATATGACTGTGTATCTTCCCATCAGGAGATATCCAAGTAAATTTATGGATGTTACGATGCAGGAAAATTGTACTTTTGACAGTAAGATTTTTTGATGTGCAAAGTTTACTGCTCTAATTCCATGCAAACTCTCATTCCCAATCATTGGCTTGAAAATGTCTTCCTTCCCTACTTTGGCATTGAAATCTCCTAGCAAAATTGTCATAGGGTACCTCGGGAATTTAGTAAATACATGTTCTAGTTCTTTGTAGAACCTGTCCTTTATGTCATGAATTTTATCTTCTGTTGGGGCATTAACATTCGTAACGACGATATCACACCAGCGATGTTTTAGTATTATATATGGTATCCTTTCATTAACGACATCTACCCTCCTAACTGCTGATACGATTCTCTTATGTATGAAAAAACCTGTACCTAATTCATGATTTTCATTCCTCTTTCCATAGAACAATATATATATATATATGCCTGCTGGAGCGATGTCACCTCTGTTCCATCTGACTTCCTGTACCCCCGCTAAATTTAACTTTTTTAAGATTTCTTCCGCCACTGAACTGAGCGAACCTGCCCTATACATACTTTGAACATTCCATGTACCATTTTCTTTGGCTTAGGTCGTTTATCCGAGGAATCCGTCTTGGTGCGAGGCTTCATGAGAGTTTTCTTGAAAAGTTAATTTTTACGGTGAGGAGCTGTTAGCCCCACGCATAAGCCCCAAGCTGGAGGACCACCCCTTGTAGGCTGTCCGTGGCTGCTTATTCAATATAATCGCAGCTTCCTTCCTATGTATATATTCTAGCATTCAAAAACATATTGTAATAGTGGCTTCCGAATGTATTTATGTCCTTCTGAGGATGGTTTGTAAAGACCGAAACATATAAGGGATGAAGGACTGAAATAAGAAAAATCTTTACTAGCCACACTTGACGGAACTCTTTAACCTCTTATGATATTGTTGGTGTGACAAAACAAATTGAAACAAATAAAAAATAAAATTGGATGCCTAACCTAAAAACTCAATTACAAAAGCCAGGTTCACATCCAGCACATAAACTAAATTCATTACACTCAAGTTACTAACCACATAGAAGTACATATTTATTAATACAGCCTGATAACGCAAATTTGTTTAAAGAAGCTAACAAAGCTGTAAACTTATTAACAACAAACATTTCTTTTCTGTGCGAAGTGCCTTGTCCACTAGAGCACTAGAGCCACTAGAGACACTAGAGTTAGTGACGCTAGTGACCGCTCTGAGGTGCTCTTAACGCTCTTAACGCTGTTAACCGCTCTCAACTGTTTCTTGGTAGAGGAGGTTAAATAACGTTTCGTAGGTTGGAGTCCCAATTAATTTGTGAGAAATTATCAGGACGAATCAGGATTACAGTGGCAGAAACATGTCGTTGATTCAGGTATGTAGTTGCTTATAATTATATTCTTTCATAGTATTACGACCTGTTTCTAATTTTCAAAATTAGTTACCATTTATTCGTTTCTGAAATAACAGAAATACGTGACATATTTCTGATGTCAGTAGATGTGTAAACAAAAATTTTTAGATCAGATTGATTCAAAATGATCCCTACAACTTACGATTGTCATTCACAGTGTCACATTGCACATTTAGAAATCTAAAACTTTCATGGTTAAACATATCTAAAAGTTAGAAGAAGAAATGTCTTTGTTATGTAACCTGCAGTGATGCAAATTCCTCCCACATGATTCTAGCAGCTGTCTTGTGCCCCATCGGCGTTTTCCTCATAATCGCATGCGGACAATGTAAACATTTATTTTGTGTGTGGGAAATATTGCCCAGAAGAAGTTTATGGAATTCAAGCAGTAATTTTTCTCAGGCCTCGCCACAGTTATGTTGATATTAGGCAGGGAAAGTAAAGTTTTGCTGGAAGCCAGGATGACTGAGTTACTGTTCTTAACTAGGCTTCTGTCACAGTAGTCAGGAAGTTAGGTTTTTCTTTTCTCTATAGCATTCAGACTGAATATAGGCCCCACACAACAACCCATTAAGTAGGTACCAGAGGGTGAAATGTCTGGGACATGGAACTGATAGGCCCCATCCATTTAGCATCAAGATTAAGAGTGGCTGGAACTATACCTCCACTACCCATACACCTTCTTGATGTGATGTCTAATTAAGCACAAGGACAACTACATCATTATCATCACTACCACATTACATGAAGTTTAATTGTTATCTCAGTCCTGTCAGTTGGTAGCCATATTGTTCATTTTGTAATAGGTCACTCTGTAGTAAGTGTTATGTGTTATGGTTCGTATACCCACTTCCAATTCTGAATGGTTATTTACTAACTACTTTCATGTAAATGTGATTTATGGTACCATAAAAACCAGTTTCAGTGTTCTGTATTTCATCAGTGTTTGGCCAGAAATGAAGCCCCTAACCTATACAAAGAAGACGTGATAATGCCAGTACCATGAGATTCACAAATAGCCAAAATCAAGTCAAAATTTTCTTATATTGTTATTTGAAGTAGGAGTGTATATCATGGCGTGTAAATTTCAGATGTCTTCTGCATTGTTTTTCCTGCATTTGGTTTGGGTTTTAGGCCTTTATGGTATGTCCACTTTTCCTATTATAGATCTCCCAATGACAGAACATGATCACATCTGCATATATATATATAGTTGATTGACTTAGATTTTTCTGTGATTAAGATTAGCTCTTTCAAATGGATCCGCCTAAGTAGGACCCCCTTCACCTCAGGGACAGGCACAGATCAGTGTTTATGAAACATTGCGCTCAGACTTTGTATGTGACAAATTTTATATCCAACCCTACTGGGAAACAACTGGATCTATGAAATGTAATTACAAATAAATAAATTCAGAATACAAGTTGATGGACAAAATCCAGAAACTTAGTGATAGAGATATGTAATTTCTGTCTTCCAGTTTCTCAATCCACTACTCATTGCTTGAGGAGTTACTTCTCTACAATAAAATTTCATAATTTATCCCCATTTAGGAAGGGAATTCTCATGACCCTGCACTGGTCCAGCAGACGTCACCAACACGGGTGAGACATAGCCACCGCCAACATCGTGCGAGTCACAGCCACCACCGACATCGTGTGAGACACAGCCACCGCCAACATCGTGCCCCTCCAGTGCACTCATCTCCTCCTTCCACACGACACTCATCGGCAGTGAATTCTGCTGGCACCAGCACTGCCTCAGACCTGCATGCTGGCCCATGGCTTTCACCTGCCTTTGAGGTAAGTCTGAAAATCTCCATGTTCAAAGTACAGCATAATGTATGGGAAGGGAATAATTTTAACCCTTCAGTGTTGTAGTCTGTGCATGGCATGCACAGACTACACTTCAACACTTGGTGTGCTTATTACCATACAAATCTATTCTTGCCTTGAGGAAATCTTATGAACTAAATATGTTATCATCAATACTGTGTGCTGTCCTGAATGCTGATTCAATGAAAAGTAGATTCTTTTGAGGCATATTGTGACCAGTGCTGCTTCTTGATTGGAATTTGTAACCATGAGAAAACATGTGGACAATCTATGACTTTGAGACGTGATGCTGACTCTAAGAAGTGTGTTATGACTGCTATATAGCGATCCATAAACAGTTCACTATATGAATGGTACTACTGTAATTCCCCTTTGTTCTTTAAATACACACCGTGCAGTCTGGTTTTAGCTGCCAAGGCCAGTCATGAGCAGTGAAGTGGCCAGCTGTGTTGTGTTACAACCAGTGGAGGATATTTTACTTCAAACTGAATCAGAATAAAGTTTTATTAGATTTGGAATTTGACACTGAAAATGGATGTTTGTGCTTCTCTCGATTCTGTGGTAAATGACAGAATCGAGAGAAGCACGAATATCCATTGGGAGAATTTTCAAAACTACAAGGGGCAAAAAGAAAATTTCTGAATGGGATGTTGTGTAGGAATAATACAAGGAAAAGAATAGATCAATTGCTAATCAGAATTCAGTTAATTGAGGGACTTTCTGCGAAATATGTTAATGCTGTAGAATACAAAGTGCTGGGTCGACATTCATCAGAAAAACAGTGCCCGCCTAAGAGAAAGAAATTTTATAAGCAAGATTCCACCAACTGTGAAGAAATCAAGACAACAGAAACGTCAAGTTGTGTGTCAAAAACTGTGTGATGAGGGACTCTGTGTGGGCTATTTTCATGACTAACACAACCAGCTGAATTTCTAAGATAATATTGTAGTATTATTTTCCTACTTTTTATAGGCTTACTGTGCCAAAAAATAATTTTAAAACAGTGTGGATCAATACACCAATTCTATATACATTTCTGAACATAATATGAACATTAGAAAAACAAAACTCCGGTTTTCCCAATTTATTACACTTTAAGTGAAATGTTACATTTACTGTTTTAAATGTTTAAATATCCCCCGTCCCAAGGAGTGAGTAGGAATTAAATGTTCTGCATCGTTGAAGAGCTAAGGTTTTCCTGCTGTCATTGCCGGACCAAGATGAAAACCAGTAATCAAAAAGGAATTGCAGAATTAAGATTGAAGTCTTCTGGGATGTGCCTCAACATAGTTTACTACACAGGTACTGTCTTTTGAGAAGAATCTACCTGGAAGGTGGAGGCAGCAAGTTACTCTGGTCGCTACTGCTCCCCCCCCATCAGAGTTGTGCGTTTCCGTATGCTGCCATGCCACTCGGTGACCATAAGCCAGGAGTGAATACAAGTCGTCAGAATATGCAGGATGAGTGGTCAGTTCAGGTTTATTGTATTCATTTTTTATTCTTTCAGTCTTCCGTCTCTCTCTGTCTCTGTTTCTTTATGTAACTAAAAATAAAGTTACTCGATATTTTGCTTGTATATACTGTATTATACATTACATACATACAGATTAGAAGTTATATACAAAAGTATGTACTTAATGGCAGTTTAAGTGTGATTTTGGTTTATGCACCATCTTCAGGCATACTCCCCATGTAAGATGCAGCTCCACTCTAAACGTTAAACTGAGGAACACGCTATAATACTGCACATTTCAGTAACCAGAAAGGTGCTGAGTTGGCAATAAAGCCCACAACTTCAGCCCTCAGGATGCGATAACTTGCTCTGCGGTCATGGCTGTCCCGCACAGAAGCTTGACCAAAATTACAAAATATTTTTGAGATAATATATACACCCATAGACCCAACCTGTGGAGTGGGCATAATGAAAAGTAAGGGGAGTATGGCTAGAAGTAGCAGGACGGTGGTTGCAGTTGTCATTGTGGGATTGGGAAGTGTGTTTCACCATGACTAAAATCTTGTTATAATGCATACACACCCTGCATTCCTTACCATAGTGGACCTGCTAGAATCCACTGCATGCCCTGTTGAGGGCAGGCAGGAATAAAGGCACAGACAGTATCTTGTACGCATTCTTTGATTTGCATCAGGGGTCAGGAAATAGTTGGCTACTGG